TGTCATTACCCTTACTGTTGGCATGTTATGTATTGTGTATGTGTATCATTGTGAAATATACAGGGTGTTTCGGTACATGTAGTACAACCGGGCATGGGCGAATTCCTTATGAAAACAAATCCAAAATACAGAATAACGATTTTTTTTTGTTTGGAGCTTCTTTTTTGAGAAAATCAAGTTTGAAAATTCTTCGCGTACGCGTACACTTAGCACACTTTCTATCTAACCCAGTGTTGTCCAACTTGGCTCTCAAGAGGGCCCCTCACACACCTGCTTCCCCTTCTAATATTTATTTCGCTCCGTGTGCCTTCGTAAACAAAGACCCTCAGACTTTTGTCTCTGTTACTCCACGGTAACGGCGGACAGTGGTGAAAAAAATTTGAATAGCAAAAACAAATTGAATAGGACTGATCTAACCGATTGCTCCATAGATTGGCTCGTTCCTGTGTTTATAATTATGTAAACATTAACAATATTATGCTGGGTCTTGTACCGACTTGGTTGCCTTACTGACTACGTTGCACCTTCTAGGATTGTTAAAATTATCGTAATGACGCGATACAGTAACCGCGAATACACGGATATGATACTTGCGTTACTACGTACTTACGACGACAATGCTTCAACTGCAGTTGCATATTACGGAGAAAGATTTCCACGTCGTCGTCATCCAGATAGACGTGTAACACCTAAATGTAGAACAAAGATCAGCAGAAGGCGGACGCCAGGAGTTGCTGGTGTTGCTAGATAACGTACTTCTGTCTGTTAGAAAAAACTAATTTTCCAACACGATGGAGAACCATCTCATTTCACCCGAGAAGTTAAAAATGTATGAAATCAACGACATGAGTATTAGATCGTTCATAGTGGAACGGTGATTTTTTTCACGGAGTCGCGTTGAAGAACTTCTGTATGCCGACGAGCATACAAACCGTGAACAATTACAAAAAAGAAGTTCCTTTGCATTTGAGCAAGTACGGACACAAAGTTTATCCGCATCAGTTCATGCTTCTGTTATTCGACGAGCAACAATTTGTTTACGGCAAGATGGACGACAATTTCAGCAATTTCTTCATTAATGTAATATTTAATTCCGCTAAAAAATAGTGTTAATCACTACCCTTCATAATATTGTCACAATACTAACGTAGAGTGCGATCGGTTAGGTAGAAAGTGTGACAAGCCACGCGTACGCGAGGAATTTTCACACTTAATTTTTTTGAAAACAAAGCGACAAACAAAAAATCATGCTATATTTTCGATTTATTTTGTGTAAAGAACTCACCCATGCTCAGTTCTACTACCCGTACCAAAATACTCTAGTATATTCATTGCACAAGTAATTTTATTTTTATAATACCTTTACCTAATCTAATTATTATTAATAAAAATGCGTGTTAATTGGACAAAATGTTTTTTATTAGGCATTATAGTTTGTACTTTTTATCTCTTAATCCTTGTGTGTTATTTATAAATTGTTAAATAAAGAAGCAAAAACAAAAATGTGCTTGAAAAAAAGAAAAAGGAAAGTATCTCCCAAAATGAGTTCGCGATCTCACGACCTTCGGCTTCTGAAGCCGTGACGTTACCTTCACGGCTACGTTAACTCATATTAGAACCTTAAGTTTTTTGGTACTTCTGTTGTAGTAATATAATTATGTTTCTAGCCATTTTCAATGAACATGATTGGGCGAAAAACTCCTGGTATTTTACACCCTCTTTAATACACATCGGACTCTATAATTTGAGAGGCACCTAGGCATAAGGATTTTTGCTTTCAGATGAGTTTTTAGAACGCAAAAAGCGACATTCGCAAAGCGCCGGATCTTCACTCGTACTCTAAGAGCCGCCGCGAAAAGTGTCCCACGACCGCGCGACAAAGTGTCACTAGTGCACGCATGTTTATTAATTTTATAAGCCCTTATCAACTTGCTAGGCATCAGGGACAAAAAAGTCGTTCTGCAGTCACGTTGTCAAATGCGCACACTTCCATATGAACAAATGCCGTTTTCGTAAGCGACAAATTGTTGCTACTGTGTGAGGGTTCTAAACGTAGCATATATAATAGACTGCGCGGTCTTATGGCAGGGATGAAGCGAGACCGAAGGACAGAAGTAGCGCTGGAGTAACTCCTCCCTTGCTCGCACATCGCAGTGGGAGGGTAGGAAGCACCTGGAGGACGATGAGGAGAAGGAATGCTGCACGCATGTAATGCCACTACAGCCGTAGGAGAATCCCCCACCAACAGCCCCATTAGAAAGAGAGGGAAGCTACTGCAGTTATTGTCTTCTCTCTCTAGTGCCGACTTCATCCCTGCCATAAGACCGCGCAGGCTATTATATACAGGGTGTAACAAAAATGTTTGAGAGGGAAGCTACTGCAGTTATTGTCTTCTCTCTCTAGTGCCGACTTCATCCCTGCCATAAGATCGCGCAGGCTATTATATACAGGGTGTAACAAAAATGTTGGAGGAGTTGTTACACGCACTGTGAGTGGTAGCCAATGCTGCCGCGGGAACTCGGCCGGCAGACTCGCGCTCTGATTGGTCGGGGTTTTTCGTTAATATCTCGTTCACAAAGCCTCAGATAACATTTTTGGTAAGGAAAAACTTGTTTCAAATCACCTCACGAGTCTCCCACTTCCAGGTCTTCCAACATTTTTGTTACACCCTGTATGTCTATGGGTTCTAAGTCCTAAAGTGGCAGTGCGAACATGGCGTATGCAGACATTCCGGTGTTTAAATTAGAAGCGAGTCGTATGTATTGTCGTTTATTAATATACAAATCCTCGGCCTTGCCTTGCTACACACTCGCGCTATTGGTTTGTGATATTTGAAGTGTACATGTATGAAATGAAATGAAACATGTAACATATATTTCCAAGTTCACAAACCGTAAAATAAGCTGAACTAATATTTTAATTACAAAAACATTAAATATGTATACTGGGAAATAATTTGGATGTTTCTAGATCTTCAAATTACTGAAAGTAAATCGTACAAGAGGTAGAAGTTGTTTTATTATTTTGAAACAAAAATTCCTTCCTTAGATTAATAAATTCGATATTGAAAATATACTGTAACTTTGCAAATTAAACTCTACAATATAGGCCTGAATACTGAATTGTAGGGATTTAAAGTTATTGTATTGTGAATAATAAATAACAAGGTTTTTCATTTCGATTTTTGTATTTTACGTATATTCTCCAAAAGTGACATATTTAGAGGCGTTATTGGACTAGTCGCCTGCGACTTCGTTTACGAGCGACCAAAAACCAGGCGACCACGTGTATACGAACTCATATTTTCTTGAATCTGGTGATCGTCGGCGACTAGTCGACAATTCGTAAAAGCTTTTAGACTTAGTAAGATTTTATTAATTTATATTAACATTTACTCATTACTTAAAAAACCTATGTTAATGCTTACATGGAAAATTACATTTACAAAGATATCATACACTTACGATACATTAAGAAGATTAAAATTTAAGGATAATATGTACAGCGAATTTTTGTTTGAAAAGGACAAGGGAATGGATAGCCAGAACTATGAATATTAAAATTTAAAGCTATTAGATTTTAACGGATAATATATTTTATAATATACAATATATTACCTTGATTTTAGCATATCTAGACACACCACTTTATACATCAACTAGAAAACATGTCCCATAGACCCTGCATGTAATATAATTACGGGCTAATATAATTATATAACCTTTTTATCCTTTTTATCTATAGAGTGTCCCCGAGAACAGTGAACAGTTCGTTATTTCCTAAAGTATTTGAAATACGAAAAAACTGTTTATATAAACATATATATACAATTGCATGGTACGAGAGGGCTAATTTAGTGACTATAGCGAATTTTTTCACATTATTGTTTCAAGAGATATAAAGGTCAAGTTTGGTTTTTAAAATGGAAATATATAGGTACTTCTTTTTAAATCACTTGATAGTGCGTTTCAAGACGAATTCATTAACCTGGAATGTATGCACCTTCTTTCAACTGGTTTTCCAAATATTGCGCTTACACATTTACCCATTTTCAATGAAGGAAAACCTGCTCGAATAGGAAGCACTGGAGATGTATTTGCGCCCCAAACGCCACGTATATCATTAAATTTGGAAGCGCAATATCTCGAAAACTAATCGTAAAAGGTTGCATATATTAAAGCTTACTGAATTCGTCTTGAAACGTACTAGCAAAGGAAATAAAAAGCAGATATACAATTCCGTTTAAAAAACCAAACTTCACTTTCATATCTCTTAAAACAATAATGTAAAACAAAAATTTGCCATAGTCACTAAACTAGCCCCACCGTACCATGCAATTTTATATAAAAAATTTTTTCGTACCTCAAATACTTTAGGAAATAAAGGACTATTTACTGTTCCCGTGGACACCTTGTATATCTATAATACAATCAAGTTTACCAAGTTTATACATTCTACTACAGTCAAAACCAAAGGTATGAACCATAATATGCGTAGAAATATCTTTGTCTAGCCGTATGCAGCTACATACAGTATATTATAATAGTGAATTCAAACACGGAATACAAAGCTACACTATGAGGCATTAAAATCTTAATAAAGTAAAATATACTTTACACAATTTTATCAATTTTAAAGCAGTACACCACCTTGAAGCGTTTAAAAATAGATCAAGTTTGAGAATATTTTTCATAGGTAAATTACTAAATGAAAAGTTTAGATTTTTTTCAGAGAATATAAATGTGACTTTCAATTTTTTGTTCCAATGTTCAAAAAGTAAGAATGGTACAATGGACGCCCAGAAATTGATGTTGTAGCAGAAAAGGTTTTGGGAATAGTGAACATATATGTCATTTTATAACATTCTTACTTTTTAAAAATCGGAAAATAAAGCTGAAAGTTATATTTATACCCTCTGAAAAAATCTAACTTTTATTTAGTACTTACCCATGAAAAATTCTCAATCTTTATGTATTTTTAGACGTCTCAGGGTGACGTACCCTCTTTAGCATAGAAGGCAAAAATTAAGCTGTTTTTTTTTCGAATTTGATTGTGTATCCATGTTTTAATTTGTGCTGGTGTACGTAGTTTTAAAACTGGGTACTGTTGTTTAACTTGATTGATTTCCTTGAATGATGGTAACACTCCCTTATGGATGTTGCTGCCAAATATTCCCATGCAAATATCCTTTTCACTAGTGCTCCATCGTTTTCTCTCACCACTACGTCTCTTTGAGCCGAATAGTGAAACTGAAATAATGTTACGGTTGTTATATATTAACGATAGTACATCATATATCTAACAATTAGTAGCATGAGATCTTAGAGTACAAAATGTTTGTAATAATAAGTATATAACAGTACTATACAGTGCCACATACCTCTTCGTTTATCTGTACCGATATTTTCATCGTCATCATCATCTAGGTCTTGCTCTACATGTTTTGTACGTTCATTCTCATTATACGATATGCTGTTGCTGGCCAGTGAAAAGTTTGTAATTTCTTCACACGCACCTGCGTTATCGTTTTCATATTCTGCATCCTGATTTTCAACTTCGGGTTCAGGTGTGCTTTCCTCATCTGAAGATGCGTCGTCGCCTTGAGCATGCTCAAGTAAACGAGATATACCAAGATCTTTCGTCAGTATGGATTGTCGGTAATGAGACCGGTGTATCTTGTCATGGTGTCCCATAAAATTGGCTAAATCGATAACTTGATTATCTGATAGATTTAAACTGATGCACTTAGTAGCTATATGCTTCCTTAACATTGTTCCCCGTAGAGTATTTGGCAACTTTGCACCAGACAATGAAGAATATTTTCTCATTAAAACGCACGCTCTAAGCCACTTGTGTCTGGTTTTATCCACACACGGTATACCAAACAGAAACGGATTTTTTTCTGGAACGCCTATGTTGCGTCGATATTTTAGTATCATTTTAATAGCAGTATGAAGGTCCGAATCTAAAAGTACCGGTACTGTTCTACCTAGTTTTCCACGAATTGTAAACCGTACGTATTTAGTTGCGGCTCTACGCTCTGTCGCATTTAGGGCTTTATATAATTCGGTTTGTGTCTCCTTTGTTACTGACTCTATATTATTTATATCCTCCATTAGAATGTGCTCAATCTCGCCCGCTCGCCTTCGATTAAATAATTGTACCGAAAGAAGTGTAGTTTCGGCTAACGTGTACCACGCTTCTTTAGAGAAACATGATTGTAATGCAGATAATGCCTCCGTTCGATGTTCCTTCAAAGAATTATACAATAGCTTAATGTCTTCCATTGAAGGCAAAACTACCTTCTTGTGACGGTGTCGCATAATATGCGTCTCAGCTACGGTCCTATTTACACTTACGCCAAAATCTTCTTCATACAATTTTAAAAAATTTTCTACTTTGACTTGCTTGTTGTGATCACCTCTTTTAATACATAAGCTACGAAGTACTTGTCCAGTCTGTTTTAGGAGTGTCCCCAATGTTGAACCAGTTGATGGCTTCTTAAAAGTGTTTGTGTCGATGTCGAATTCTGCCAAAACTTGTATTGCCGATATGCAATTATCATATAGCTTCGGATCGTAGACCGTTTCCAGCGATTCTATGTTTTTATCTATTCTTTTGATGGCGAGGAGGAATCGACCCAACAGTCTCATACGATGCCGTATCATGTCATGATGTCAAATCGTCTCTCATCACAGGGAATACTACTCTTTTCAACGTTAAAGTTGCACAGGGATGTATTCTACAGGTAATTGTACGACTGAGAATCCCAGCTGTCCTTGTATTCTTTATATGCTTATCACTCATGCACTCACGAATATGGTGCCTTATGTTATTTTTACTGAAAAAACCATGACACTGTGCGCACGCTAGAAAATCGGCTGCAGTTTTACCTCGCTGTGCAGAAGGTCTCCTGCAGACAATTAAGTCTCCTTTGTTTAACGTCGCATTGGTATTGTATTGAAAGTTTCCATCCTTCCTAAGCTTGTCAATTATTTTTCGTCGCTCTGGATTTCTCTTGGGAAGAAATGCAAATTTTTGAACTTCTGTCTCGTTTGCATGTACGGTTTCCAAATGTCGGACTATAGTAGTTTGAAATTTTTGGCAAAATAAACAGAAATTATTTTTTCGTCTGCCTCGGGAATCAGGAATGGTCATTTCAGAATCATCGCATCCGGTGTCGGCCTGTATGGCTGTAAGATTCAATGATCGCCGTCAGGACTGCTCAGTGGAAGTATCTTCGAGTTCATTTTCTTCAGCTTCTGTCTCCTCGTCGCTACTGACTTCCTTCGATTCCGGATTATAGCTAGATGAACTCACTGTTTCGGATTCAGTATCAGTCATTTCTGTCACATCCTCAGTTGTAGTGTGCACATCTGTGTTACTCAGCTGTGAATTTGTAGAATTTTCCAAGAAATTTTCCGGAACTACGGGACAATTCTCAGTCACATTTTCGGTATTGTTGGTATTTTCCTGCAAAATGCCTTCTGCAGTATCTTCGGAAAATCGTGTCATGTCGTACGTCACCATATCAACACTTTCAAATGCATTTTTAATACGCGTTAATCTAATAAACGGTAGATTCCGTTCCAAGTTTCTAAGTATTTCTTTCAGTATCCATCGTTGTCCTGAAATGCGCAAGACATTAATTATACTATCAAATCTATCTACATACATGTAATAATGAATAATTATTAATATATAATTAATAATTAATTAGAATTTTAAGCTACGTATAACTTGAAAGGTGACATGATAAAACATGATACCGACGTGCGTTATAAAAAGTAGCACATTTCATTTGTCTTACGAAGAAAAGCACATTTGCCTTCACTGTGAAAAGGAGCACATTTGGATGGTTGGCTACAAAAACTAGCACGTTTCGTCTTTGGCCACGAAGAATAGCACGTTTTGAATGTTGCGGCGAAAACTTACGCGTTATAGGTACATATTGTTTCGCCATGAGGAATAGCATATTTTTGATTATGTGGCAAAACCCCAAAATTCAATTGTAATCGAACAATTTTTATTCGTACGTAATGTTGCGATAATAATGACATATTATTGAAAATAGTCTGAATAATGTCATGTTTGAACTCATTTTCTTCGGAAGAGTCTTCACAATTCATTCGTGCCACTTTCATGAAAGTATATTGAAAAATGTAAACGTTATATTGTAGAATGCCGAACGCCGAACGCCAAGCACAAAACGTCGAAGACCAGCAACCGACCATTAGCATACAATGTAAGCAGATAAAGAATCATGCGTGAATGAAAATTTAAACTTTTACATTTTTCAATATATTTTATAAAAGCGTCGCGAATGAATTGAGGAGATTCTACTCATAAAAATGAGCCCAAACACGACATCATTCGGATTATTTTCAATAATATGTCATTTTTATCGCAACATTACTTACGTATGAATAAAAATTGTTCGAGTATACTTGATTTTTTTTCGTTTTGCGGCATAATCAAAAATATGCTATTCTTCATGGCGAAACAGGGAAACGTACGTGCATGTGTCTGTACAGATAGTATAAATGCATTTTTCGTGGCAAACTGAAACATGCTGTTCCTCGTAAGAAAAATGAAACATGCTACTTTTCGTAACGCACGCCGATATATACATACCAGAGGTGGTTATTATGTAGATAAAAAATTATTTAAATAACTCTTCGAATAAAAGATACTTTATCTTTATTCGTTATTCGAAGCTTGAATAAAAAATGTATATTTATTCGACGAGCGCCGATTGAATAAAAGATACTTTTTTTATTCGGGGCGTTTAATTCACAGCGTCGGTGATATTTTCATCCTTTATTTGTATCTTTTATCTGAAGACTTTGAATAAATTTATAAATAACTTTGGCCAGCCAGCCAGCTCGAAAAAACGCGCTAGCGAGCGTTGAGCGTCGAACGTCCAAGGCCAGCAACCGACCATCGGCATACAATGTAAACAGACGTAGATGAGAGAAGGAATCACGCACGAATGATAATTTAAACTTTTACAATTTTCAATATATACTAATGAAAGTGTCATGAATGATTTTGGAGAGATTCTCGCGATGAATATTATTTCATAAATTAAAGATCTAGGAGAAAATCTAACCATATGAACGCTCACTATGTAATTTCGAAAATTAAAAAATGGAATTGTTAATTTAATGAACTAATAAAATATTAATTGTAATTTTTAGCTAGTTAGTAAATCGAATTCTATGCAACACTGTTCGTAACAGAATAATAAAAAAATTCTATTTCACAAATTTATATTTTACATTTAATTTACTATTATATCAAATTAAAATAATGTTATATAAAAGTTAAAAATACCACGAGGTTTACTAAGTTTATACATAAGGTTTAAAAAATTTCATAAAAATTAAAACATAATGCATAAAACTTAGTAATGAACCTGTCTTCCTTTTGCAAACAGTTTTGGCATTCAGGAAGGAACATTAATTCCTTAATTGTTGAAATAACAGACAAAAAATAAACTTAATAAACCTCGTGGTATTTTTAACTTCTATGAAACACAATGTTAATTTAATTTGCGACGGTGTGCGACGGAGCCGCGCCCCTGACCGTTGTCGCTCGGGGGTGCGGCTTCGTCGCG